AACCAACTGTACCAGTGTTTGTTTTAACGTGCTTTTGTTTGACTGTGCTAATGACAGCTATTTTGTGCTTCCATTCTTATACTTACACACTTCGATTGTAACTTCGCGCGGATTCGGTTACGTTCTGTAACCAAGGTTGTATCCTGGCACGATCTCGGTATCCTTTCGATGCCACGAGATCGCCAGCAAATAAACCTCGACTTGGTCCATTAATTGCCTTCTGATATTCGGCTTCTCGGGGATTTTATGGAGTCATTTGGAACGAGCTTCTTACGCCTTCTGATCTATTTGGCAAGTGTTTCTTGGTAGCGGTGTTCATAGTTAATCTCAACTCGACGCCACGCTACAATTGGTAATCCCAACACGAATACAATCTAAAGAAACTATCTATGCAACTAGGTAACAGAGTACTAAATGTTTGGGAGATCAAGAAAATCCCACGAAAAAAGCCTAAATGTCTCTGAAAATGTTGAGAAGTATCTTATCTAATCAGCATTCAATTCAAGTTTCGCCAGAAACATCTAGAGTGAAAAGTTCCATGTTGCGTTTCTCTTTGGATGATTACCTATGCTGCTTCTATGTGTAGTAGCGTTCCAGAAATTTCCGAAAGCTCAAGGTCATATAAAATGCTGTAAATACCATAGATTTTCTGTACATAGACGAACCTTAGAGTAAAGCGTTTCTCTATTTCCTCTCTTGTCTAAGTCGCTTTCTAGATCTAGCCTAGGGGTTACTAGAAGAACTAAGGAACCGAATCTAGCGTTCAGTTAGAAGACTTGTCATCAACAATGGTATTCCTGTACAGAACAACGTAGAGAACGTTGTTGAATATCAGTTGTCGCATTTCTGATTTTACATCACTAATGCTCTGTCAGTCCTCTTTATATAGAGTAAAATGACGGCCTTTTAAAATGAGAAAGATCACACAGTTAATTCGTTGCCGATAATATGCATTTAATTTGAGACAATCAAGAGATCATTATACACTGCCTATGATTCTGCTATATACTGGATTTCCGGTAGGTGTAGGAGAAATTAATCCCAGCTGATTTTATATGACTCCGAAATATACTCGGAACGCTAATCACTACAAAACAATGACCTATGGTGTGTGGGAATGAATTGGCGACCAAACAAGACACAATAACTTGCAAACCAATAATAATTATTTATCAATAAACACTGTAGAACACCAGGTTAACACATTTTTATGTACGGCTAAATCTCCTAATGTCTGAGTAACACAACATACAATGAAGAGAAAAAAGTTCTAATCTCGTTACTACCAAATTATCTTATTACCCAACAACAGTTAACGTACACATACAGAACTAACGGAATTTCGATATGAGCAAACAATAACTGAATATGTCAGTGATCCAGCCCTCTTAAAGTTTATCTTTTTAGGTAGACAATTCTGTGTAATTATAAGCCGATAGTAAAAGAAAAGCACCATTTTATTTGGTTCGTCAATTGTATAAATAACTAGAAAAATGGTTGGGATGATTGGGCTTAAGTTACTGATGTGTAGATCTTTCTGATTTTATTTTTTTAAATCTGACTAGGCCTAGATACTCTTTAAAATTATTGTTACAACCTTTATTCAGTTATTACAATATCATTATCGTGAACTATTATAGATCATCATATCTTGCTGATGCTTTGTTTCGAGGTAGTCGAAGCAGCTTTCAGTTGAAAGTATCATAGTTTCCTGAGAACTGAAGACAACAACTCATACTTACTTCAGGTGCTAATTTCACGCCTGGCCATTACCCTATAGGTAGGACTCTTTCAGAAAGTATCGAAGTTCAACTGTTGATAGATTCAGAAGCTTATCAGATGAAATTTTCATAGCTGTTTTAAAACCACTCTGGCTCCTTACTTGGTAAGATGCGCTGATAATCAGCATGATATTTTATTGCTAACAGAAATAGTTTTGGATGTACACACAGAAAAGTTATGGTTTGTTTGACTCATTGAATGAGTAGCACAATACTTTCATGGTAGTTACTCAAGAGTTTATGTGTAAGGCTACTGTGATGGTTAGGAGTTTTCGAATTATTGCAAGAGCAATGCAATTTAAACCAAGAAGAACGGGATGAACATGAACGAACATATTGTATCTGGGATTCGAAATTAGGCAGTCATCAAGTACAAAGAAATTGTAGTGACCTACTTTTATCAAGAGGACGCGATTGGTTTAATAGAAACAATTATTATCATAACCAATTGTACCTGTGATTGTTTTTCCGTATTTGTTTTTTTGACTGCACTAAGGACATTCTTCCTTCCGTTGATTGTGACCTTGCACGCACTTACGTTGGCTCAGTGATTCCGCTTGTACTCTTTTGGCACGATCTCGGTATTCTTTCGATGCCACCAGATAGCCGACGAATATATCTCACTACAACCTCCAATCGCCTTCTGATATCTAGTACGCAACCTTCTTGTAGTGGTGATCATAGTCGGCCGAGACTCGACGCCACACTACAGAATCATCAGTTCATACCAACGCTACAACTACACTCGATGTCCCCAATTCCTTCAGGGAGGAATGAGTAATGCCTTCAGTAGTAAGGACAATTCCACCGGCGTATTATATCACTAAGAAAACTGCAGTGGTTTTGCCGTAAATTGTTATGAGACTGTAGATCGAATTCCAGGATATTTTACTTTAAAGACTAGATGTGGTCGAAAAATAGCTGACACAAAACTTGATTCGAGATGTTAATCGATCAGTTCGAATGTTTGTGTAAGGCACAGTTGGGAATAGATTGTGATAATATCGTGCCAGCTATTAGTAGTTTCCAATACAGTTTAGGGAGTCTCACCGGTCTGTCTGGATTAAGGATTCTTCATCAAGCTTTGGAAACATTTGTATTACCAAGCAGCAAACAATGCGACACAAAATAATCTCAGTCTAGAAATGCTTCAGATAGTAATTGCATTTATGCTAACTTTGCTGGAAAGTTCATGTCCACTCATACAGCCTGATCTCTCTTGTCGACTAAAATAAATCAAATAAATTAACACCTGAGTCGTTCAACAAAAAACAAATGGAGTCGCAAGATGTATTTAAGTGTTTAGAAAGTGTTCAGACCATTTTAATATTTACATTAGGAATATTAACCAGTAGTTGACCATGAAGTGACGCATCGAGAATTAGTGCTGACTTTAGTTAATGAAATTTACACTTCAAAGTTCATGTGTCGATCAAACAACAAACGCATTTCAAGGTTACAACAACAGCTAATCGTTCAGAATAGTATTGACTGAACTTATTATGGCTATCACTAACAGTAAGATTCCCTCATCAAAAGTGTGAAGATACTGTAGATGTGACCAAACCAGACGATTCTTTTGTCAGAGTACTTTAAGAAGGATATCTAGAAGACAAAAACGAAAGAAAGGCCCAGAGGAATCGCATATTTGACGATAGACAGGTGTCGGTGAATGGATGTTAACTTATCTGATTATCTGGAGGAGAAGGAACATGTTTCATGGGTTGTATTTAGATATGACTACGACGCGTGACAAAACTTCTCTCGCTAGTGGTGACTGTTGAAACCAAAGACATCGAGGCCAATGTCAAATCTCTACAGAATTCTGCATTATAGGAAGTTATTTACATACTCAAACATTTTATGTGACGCTTTAACCACAAGATCAGCTTCAGGTAGTATGAAGGCTTGACCAAAAACGGCAAGTTTCACATCTCCACTGAAAACCATTACACAAAATATGGGAACATATAGGTACCGAATTAATTCCTGTTTGGTGAATTTTGGTTGCATAAGTTGACACGGACCATGACTACTCAGGGTAAGCTTTGCATTTTCTCAGGGTACAGAATATCCTAGTGGGGTCCTCTAGGGTTCGCGTGAATAACCTTCAGCAGGCATCGTCTTGGCTATTGCTTTTTCGCTGACGATGCTAAACTTTGGAGGAAAGTTTACAGCCAAGATCATGATATAAAATCTCATAAAGGTCTGACCGACTCTAAAATTGGGCGGATGACAACGAACTTACTTTTAGCACTTCGAAGTGTACAGTAGTCCATGTGAGACGTGTTGCAGATTATACACACAGCTTAGATAAGTCACCCCCAGTTGAAGAGCAAAGTGTCTTGGCACTATACTTTCTGAAGTCTTACTGTGATAGAAATACTTTTTAGATCAGTTCTTTCACCAGTAACTTTAAAGCACATTTTTGGCAAGCTTAACTTTTTACCTAATTTTTAAGTTCTATTTGGTCCCATTCAAAGTATGGAAATGTATCGTTTTACCCCTCACTACAAAAGAACATGAATAGTCTGGAATTTATCCGAATGCGAGCTGTGAGATCAGTCAAAGAATTCAAACTAAAAACTTACTTTCACACAATAGTGTACAATCAACCTAGAAGTGACCTTTCAATGACTCATAGCTCAGAGTCATGGCACAGCAAACCGGACCGTTGGTACACTTTCTATCCCCTATGAGTAGTTGAGTCTGTAAGGCCAGTTCATGTCGTGTGTTGGTTATCCTTGACCTTGATGAAAATTGATGGACTGTCCTACATTTAATGGCTGGACCGCTGGGCGACTTGGTTAGGGCTCAGTGACGTTACTTAGGCCCTATATGTCCTCGGATTCGCTGCTGGATTCGGTGGTCCAAACGACTCCCCAGACGTCTTTCAAGAAGAAACTCGATAGATTGTTAGGGACTGAGGAAGACATTTAACCATAATTCCCTAATGTTTCGTTTCTACTTGTCAGATACATATAAGTCTTTACCTGGAGGCATCGATGATACACTTCCATAAGATACGAAAGCCTGTATAGCTCGGGCTTCTTTTATTCCGTTCACAACCATTTGAATCATTTAGCCTGATTTTCCCAAACACTACCACGGTTCCGAAATTGGATTATGTGGTCAAGTTTTTATAACAAGGAGATTACTTAGATTTTACTGGTTCCACTGAAAATATTGGATAGTGAGACGAACAATATATGATATGTACCGGTAGAGGCGCGGATTCCGTAATTAGTTGGTTAGGGGTAGAATGACGGTAGATGTTGATAGCTTGCGATATGTAGAACTCCAGAGGCTTGCTAAAATGCATGGTATCAAGGCTAACAAAAAGGTTAGCTTCAAGCATGTTTATCTTATCACTACAGGCCTCTGAACTAAAGAAGGAGCTGAAAATCCTGCTTTGTATTCAGGTTTGTATAATGCCTTGCCTCTATAGGCTCATAGGAATTTGAAAGTACCGGCACAAAGAATGGTGAAACAGCATCTGCTGAGTCTGTTGAGGTAGATGTACTATGCTTTCTACGACATCGTTCGGGATAGATTGAAGAGTCTTCTTTCAGATGTACAGACAAGCCTAAGCTTCCTGCTGACGATCAAGAAATTAAAGAAAATGGCGGGATAACATCTACACCAATAAGTGACGATGAGGCTCCAGGTGTTTTGAATCGAACATACGAGGTCAGTTCACTTAGTATATTTCACTCAATATCTGCAGCTAACTTCTCCTGTGGTGTGCTGCAAGAAGGATACTATTGAGAACCCAATCAAGCAATACTCAGGTAATGTCACTCAGTCGAAATGTGACGTATCTGTTATGTAGTGAACGTCTCACCTTTCACTCCAAGTTGTTTATAGGTAGTTCACGGATTTTAAGTTCCCACTCAATACACTCCTTTGCGATATAAATTCTGTCTATGAAATTGAGTTTTTCAGTAGTCATGATATCATACCGTCTCTACATACGATCTTAGTTACAGTCGTCATAAGTAGTGCATAGGTCAATATATTAAATTGTCTAACGGTATACTAGTAATATTTCAAGTATAATTGTTAGTTGTAATTTAAGAATATTCCGAATCGTGACTATTGTTAGTGTCCTCGACATTTTCCAGCGCCATGGACCAGAATGGTTTGAATTAATGATACATGAATGTACATGACTTATTTTCTGTTACTTCTAACCAGTCATACATAGATGTTCAATACCACCATATCTCTTTAACTTCACTAATAATGGTGTCCTGAAAGTAGTTTGCATTGGTGTAGATTCTCGACTTTGAAGAAAATTCCCCAGTTTTGAACGCATAGAAATCATTCTACTCAGTGATGATGTATAAGTTACCTATACTACACTTATTCACTTGAAAACTACCGTCCATACGTATGGTATGTTGTTTAGATCGTTGGAATGTAGTGTATCTATACGACACCTGCTTCGGTTTGAGTACTCAGGTAGTATTCCAGCCCTCACACAAACCGAATGAAGTGCGGCGCATATATATTTAGTACCTCCTTGCACTAATGTTTACGTATATAAATCAATTAGAAAATAAATAACCACGATTGACAGTAAAGTACCTCTGTAATCATGCTTGGTGGGAGTTATTAAAAATAGTGAAGTCCTTATGCCTGTTTAGTTGTGAGTGCTTGTGTTGATATAAAAAAGGTCAGTTTTGTGCTGAGGTCCTTAGTTTTATATGCCAATTCAGATCTTTTTGTTGTGGATCATATTTATCTCTGGAGATTACTTTCTTATCCCATACCCTCAAATGCTGGTACGACTTCACCGTCGTACGTTACATTCACTGGGTCTGGTATCTCTTTAATCAACGTACCACATGTAGTAAGGTTTCAAACAAGTATTTTATCTGATAGAGCTAAATAAGGTCATTACGAAAAAATGTTGATCAGTTTTTTACACAATGTGATTCCTCAAATAGAGCTCTAGAAATCATGTAATCAGTGACCTGAGGTGTAGCTCAAAGTAATAAGTTGGCGGCAATCATGCCCTAGATTTATTGTATTCATCAGTTTAAAATATAATTCACATTGAACACTAATATTTTGACCTTATTTTTTTGGCTATTAATGTGTAGTTTTCCCTTATTTATAGATAAAAATGTTTAGAGTCTGTAAATTTCTGATGCTTCACTGTATCAAGCTGATTCTGATATTATAAAGTGGGAAAATATTAGTGTGTCATGTTAAAGCTTAAGAGGAGCTGTTAGCATCTTCTCTTTTGTTGATGGCATTCTCCATATCAGACTTTCTTTTATTAACCCCGGTAGTATTCATTTACTCAGGGGACATCTAATAATAACGGTATAGCCCCATAAAGCAACAATTTAATAACCTTCTTTTAAGTAAACACTTATTTTCGTTAATTCCGACCAGATCAAGCACTATTCAACAAAACTAACTTTTGTAGAGTAATCTTTCATTGTTTGGCTTTTATATTTAACTGCTATTTTTTAAAACATTTTCCAGAATCCCATAAATTGTCCATAGCTAAAAAACCATCGGTTATCAAGACAGTCCCAGGTAATTCGAATTCCAAATTCATCTTTATTATGTTCAATTTTTTGTCATTCGTACAGAATGAGTTCCAACGATAGTCTTGTAACAGTTATGACTACGATGCGATTTGCTAAATAAGAATTTATCTTTCAACCACTAAATCATAGGTTCAGAAGTCACTTTAATTCACTTTGGTTTTCCATGTATTACCATTACTGTTCACAAAAACAACATGGCTCATTGCTAATCAAATAAATCCGTACTTGGTATATGAATTACCATTGACGAAATACTATTATTTTAAGGGCTTACTGCTCCATAGCTTCGTGCATCTTCGCTTAAATGGTTTCAAGAAAGAACGAATAAAGACGACATTCCTAAATTTTAATTAGAATAGGTCCTTGCTCAACATTTTCCATATCACAGCAAGTTCTTGATTATAGATGTCTTCAAAGTATTGCTCTAGTTATTATTTATTTAGACACATAAACACTGGTACAAGGAGACACCAAATATATATGCGCCACACTTTATCATTCAATTTGTGTGAGGGCTGGAATATTGCCCTGGTGCCCAAACCGAAGCAGATAGTTCCCTTAGGGGGCCACTAACCGAGCCTTTGACCTAGAGGTCTAATCCACAAGGCAGTGGCACAACGTTAGGAGATGCAGTCTCATAGTAGCTGGTGACCAGGAATAAGTTTATGCGCCATTTGTTCCCTTAGGATCCTAGATCTCATGTGCATCATCGGTTTGGAATCACGGTTTTCCAATCTCCTAGGTAGACCCTCTATATTCACCAACCCGGCTAAAGCGCCGGACATTCTTTTTTCGTTTTCTCAATTCTGTAAACACCACTGTCGCCTTGAGAAGGCAGTGAGTGGAATAACCAAATAACCAACTCTAAGGTTAGGGATCAATTACTAGACCAAGATGGCAAGTCAGACGATGAGGTTATGAGTCCCCATCGACTATGGTGGTTGGAACATGTGTTATTTTTGCTAAGATCCCGTCTTCTCTGACGCTCTCGGAAGTGGGAGTAGGTTGAAAAAAACTATGGGTAACTGAATTGCGATGTGACGTCAGGGGTCCTTGAGACATCTCTGATCAATGGTTGGATATGTTAAATAATATGCTTCAGAATAGGCCATAACGACACATGCTCGCTCTTTATCTTCCTCTAGATCTTGAGTTCCAGTATCTCTTCATGCATAACTTCATTGATATTTCTCAAATCATATTCTCAATTCTTAGTCTTTCTCAATATCATCGCTACTACAATTGCTTCGACTATTGCTATTCTTCTTGTTAATTTCACCTCTTCCTGATATGCTACAGCAAGTTGGAGTCAGGCATATTTTTTCAAGGCTCTATGTTGATTATGATTGGTTGACATAACAGCATAATCTATCCTGCTATAACAGAAGTATGCTACGAAACTGATACATAATAGTCTACTATCAAAGCATATCCTATGTTAGACAACTCTATGTGTTTGATTAACGTTGTCTCCGAAGGATTGCTGACATCCAGCGGCAACACCATGTTAGTAATGAAGAGGTTCGGCATCGTGTATTCGGGCGCAAAGATGATAATTCAATTGGTGTCACTATCTTGAAACACTGACTTCGGTGGCTTGGACATGTTCTACGAATGTCGTCCCAAAGAATCTTTATGTGAGCTACGAGTATTAAGTCAATTATTCTTTGAAACTGGAGCACTCGAAGTAAAACAAAATAAAACTAATTGATCCAGTGTCTGCATAAATATGATTAAGAATAGTGGGGGAAAATAAAGAACGTCTGGGTAATTGGAATTTGTGAAAAAATATTTCTTAATCCCACTACCATACCAGTGAAATAGGGATTTTAGACATCTCAGGTTTCGGAGGGGTTGTGAGTAGATTTCCATCATCCCGTTTGCATAATTCATGCTTTCTTGTTCGAAGATAGTATTTTTGCTTCTACCTACCGTCATTTCCCATGGAAATCCCCTTCGGTAAGTTCAAGTCAAAGATACCATACTGTTAAGAAGTGTTCACTAAAACCTGTTTGGTAGTCTTCAGTCATTAGTTTGTGGAATTAAAATAGAAAGATTCTTCACTACTGTTTAGTGTTCCAGTTTTAAACCCAAACGTAGATATGGAGTGTAGCTTTTGGGCTGATTTACTGAATTTCTCGTGAAAAGGTGTTTTCCTCATTATTTTATGTTTTTGGTGTAAATTATTGGAGTAATATTTTCATAAATACATCACAGATTGCTTGTAATTAGACAACCACTGAAAACAGAAAGCATTGGTTAGCTATTCCGTCCTAGTATGAGACTCCTAAGCGGTGCCCATCCATAACCCCCACTACAAATCCAACGTCGGGCATCCAGTCTCGTACACACTGCCGATGAGTCCCACATTAGAACGAAACAGTTGTCCAGGGCTTCTTTTCTTTCAGTAATTGTCTAAAATCAATCCTTGATGTAATATATTGAAATACAAAAGTCTTCACAAACCTCGTATGCTGAAAATAATATTTGTGTATGTCATTACATAAATATTTCATTATATTTACTTCGTTTACTGCTCATCAGACTTCAGTAAGATTCATGCTAAGGCCGCTTCAAAATTGGAATCATTGGTGTCATATGCTTCACGGCGTAACTTGACTAGTAAACCTCGACCACCATTTGCATCACCGCCTTTTGTTAACAACAATAAAAAAGTCTCGAATTCATCTGGCGATAAATCTGAGATCTCCCAAACAAATATACCTCAGCGCAAGTTCAGCCTTCAGAAGAAAATATCAATTCCTTTGAATGACAAAATCACAATATTGAAGAATTCAAATTCGGTTAAACGAAGTAAATCACTTCTTTCTCCTTTCTCATCTAATGAAATTAGTACAACTGTAAATAACCAACAACAAGCAAACAATTTGGCAGGTATTTTATGAGCGTATTTTCTCCTTGGTTTCATATGTTATTTTATCAAATAACTACAGCACTATTGCTTAACTTATGGGACAGTCACCCAAATCTTAGTAGTTACTCATTTGTTAGTCAGTTTAGTCATTTTATGTAGCTCACATCAATCAATTCAACCCACAAAGAATAATATTATAGACAATTTCGTGTATTCTGCAAATTATTTTGATTGGCTGTTGAAAATAAATGTGTCATCTCTGGTCATTTTCATATTTCTCTATGGGAACCTGCACACAAGTTAGAGATGTGTGTTGTAGACATCTACATATAATAGCTAATAGGAGTGTTTTTCATTGTGACTAGTTTCCTTAGGTTTGAGTCATTTGAAAATAAATCTCGCTGATATGAGCACATAGTCTATGTTAGTGATTTTATACCATTATATCCAATGGTATAAAATATATTTATCTTGAATTACTCGTATTCGTTACATTGTTGGCAAGGTTGTTTTTTGTTAAATACATTGTGTTATTTAGTCAGTAAAGTGCATACCTAGTGTCACTGATCAGTCACAGCCACAGTTATATCAGTATTCATTTATGTTTCAAATAATGTACATTTATTTAAGATTTTGTATTGCTGTTTGAAGGCTAATTGTCATTTTTCGATTAGTTGGAGACTGTCTTGTAATGTAGTTAATACATTGTATTATTCCTAGTTCTAGTAATATTTTGTGATTTACGGGCGTAAAGCACGGAAAAATAATAGTAGAATCTGACAGCTTGACGAGTCCATATCATGTTTTGTGTTGGTATCCGATTCTGATACTGATAGGCAAGCTTCCCATATGTAAGCTCAACCGACGACGTAGATGAAGGAAGGTTGATTGAATAAAACTCTAGCAATATATATCTTTGCTACGTTTGAAGAGATTATGAGATCACCTAAAATCGGTGCAACACAACGACGAGACAAGCTAAACTATTCTGATGCGTCCCAGCCCTGCTAACCAGAGGGAGAAGACCAGGTTCAGGTGAGGTAATCGTCTATTCCACAGAGTCAGAGGCAAGAACCAACAAGCACACAAATCAAGCGTATATATGCAGCATAAAAAAGTTCTTGGGAAACGTCACAAATCAGAATATTAAAGAAGGAAACGAATTACAAATTGAAGGTAAAAGTGGGCGCTCTTGGGACGAAAATGAAAAATTCAAATTTTCGAAAAAGTTACAAAAGTAAGGCGCTTACCAAGTGATTCCTGGGGATCTAGCATTCCCAAGAATCTTAGAAATTTAAGCTACACGTCTAACAATTGATGTGTGCCACGTTCCTTAGGAAAGGAAGCCAGGTTTTAACCACAAACGTGCGCTTATTGTGTGTCTGATGCTTGATTGACTCACTACATTAGATCATCATGAACAGAACAGAATTAATAACAACAGTCATGAAAAACTTGAGGCAGCAACCAGTAAGGAGAACAAATGGAGATGGAATAAATACCAATCGACACCTGGTTAGTAGCGTGTATATAGAGATGCCCATGTGCTTCATTCATCATAATGTCATAACTAGTGAGTGCACGATTATATTCAATGGTGTATATATATATATATATATATATATATATATATATATATATATAAACATGACAGAAATTATCTTTCGATTAATCAGACTCTCAAGACTACTAAGTGAGTAACAAATCATGTTAAGAAATGCTCTTTTATATCCCTACTATTTTAAGAATACCTTCCTGTTGCGTAAATATATTAGTTTATTCACTGGTAAGGTAAATATTAAACAGATTAATTGTTTCCGAGAAACTGACCAGTCCTTAGGATGTGGGAACACAAATGATATATGATAATTAATATAATTCATGAAACTCGTGGACACGCATGCTATTATTTATCAATTGAGTACAAACTTTATGGTCAGTTTGCTCAATCTTTGGTTAACAGAACCATTATTGAGTGTTATCGATTGGGATATACTATCTAGTTTAGTTGACCTAAGTGTCTAAGTTTATTATTCATTAGTTTCCTGGATTCAACTCTTAACCATTGGATCCCATATCGAAATTAATTCATATTTTCCCGGTTACAATGTCCGTAGCTATATAGTATCACTAACATTTACACTAAAACCGCTGTTCATTTCTATTATCTTCCAACTTCATGTTATTCCTTTAGAAGTAAATCGCTGCGTTGGTAAGATGCCCTACTTTACCTAAAGTTGAGCCTATTAACCAATGCCAAACGATAACTAGTTGTTGTTCTATATCACAAAGTAGTTGAATTTTTAAAGACTTCAAGGACTGTGTTAGTAGTTGATTGGTGTGATATTGTCTTTTGTTTCATTCTGCCTGCACCGCTTAATACTGGGATTTTCCTGTATTTCTTCCTCCTTTCCAATTTTCTCAATGTTATGTAGCCAGTGAAAGTAAGATATAATTGGTTACTGAGCAAAGACAGATATATTCAAATTACTATTTATGAATTCCCTCCTAATACTGATATCTACTCACTACGTGTAATGGACTACTAGGGTTCATGTTAAATAAATCTATTGTCTGATTCACGCTATAGTTGATTGCTAATTGTGTATCCGGTATAGCGTTCTAATCTCAGTCAATATATAGTGTATCGATTGACTGTCCAATTCAGTGGTAGTATCATCTTAGAAATGGGCCGTTTTGTTGTGTTAATGGTAGTAATATATCACGGTAAATCGAAAAATGGTACTATCTTGTTCCTATATCTGGTCTAGAAAAAAGAACTTCAAATGAATTTCGTCATATTTTCTCATTTTTACTTTTTTGTTGTTAGCTTGCAATCCATTATCGCGTAAAACTACTATTAAAATTCCAGCTGACAGTGCATTTGCTCGACGTAAAGCGTATGATTTGAAATATAACCAGTCACGTCGTTTGTCCTGTACACCTCATCGTGTTTCCAAGCAATTATCAATAACTCCTCCTAAATCGACTACTGTTGTACGACAAGATATTCGTATACCTAAACCATTTGTAAATGTTCGTCGTAATAAAATGGAATTATCAAAGATTTGCAAAGAAGATCGGGCAATGTCAAGGAGATTATTAGTTGACAAGAATCGTGGCTTATAATTATTTTATTATTCATATATATATATATATATATATATATATATATATATATATATATATATATATACCTCTTATCTACCTGTATAATATTTATCTAATATCTAAGTGTTTGTATCATAGTTATCTTATTTTAAAGATATTATCATTATTCCATTATTTAACATGAGAAAAATATTGTTACTTCTCTCATTTCAACTAATGTCATTCTTAATTGTCTCTCATAAGTGTTTTGTTATTGACTAATTATTTATACTTGGATTATTTAAAAAATTTCATCTTATATATATATTAATTTATAACTATCCTTTGGAAAGGGGATATAAGCAACTTTGTTTTCATTTCGTTAGATTCTCTGTTTGACAAACAATCAATATCGATTGAGATCATGAACCGACTGATGTTAGATCACCACTGAAAACCTGGGAGCACTAGACGACCGTTTCGTCCTATTGCGGGAATCCTCAGCAGTGCGCATCCACGATCCCGTCCGCGGGGTTCGAACCCAGGGCCGTCGGTCTCGACGTTAAGCGTTCGCGCGCGATACTGTTGATCAGTATCGACATAGAGTTAGTATGACATAAAATATGTATTAGTTCAAGTTCGCAATAATACAACAAGATGAAATTAACAAAATAAATAGAAAATAAATCAAAATAATTCTAATCACAGTAATTGTGAAGAAGACCAAATACTGAGAATGCGGTTGGAATGCGCTTCTCTCCCTTTAAATGCAAGTTGTTGCTTCAGGACTGCCCTGCGTCAACACCTGAACTAAGGATAGGGGGTGAAGCAGTCGAACGCGTTGACAACTTCACTTATCTTGAAAGTCTGGTCAGCCCTAATGGGTTGGTCACCTTTGGTGAAGGCGAGATATCCGTCTATCAACAAAAGGACGAGTATACTGCGCGGCAGTCCATTCTGTTTTACTTAACGGCAGCGAAACATGGCCTTTGAGAGTAGAAGACATCCGTAAGCTACTAGTATTTGACCACAGATGCCTTATAAATATTGCTGGTGTTTGTTGGGATCACCGGGTAAGTAATAGTGAGGTTAGACGCAGGGTATTAGGGAATGATGGTAAATCAGTTGATGAGGTTGTGAATCTTCATCGACTGAAATGGTTGGGCCACGTGTTATGTATGCCTGAACACCGATTACCACGTCGTGCAATGCTAACGGGTGTTAGAGATGGTTGGAAGAAAGTTAGGGGCGGTCAAACCAAAACGTGGCATCAGTGCTTGAAGTCACTAATTTCTGGTCTGAGCCATGTTGGTAGATGCAGACTACTTGGTTGGGGTCCGCGTGACTGTCGTAACCAATGGTTGCAGATTCTTGGTAACATGCCTCAGAATCGATCACAATGGCGTAGGTGTATACACTCTCTGTCTTCCCTTAAACTAAGAGATTAAAATTGCTTCATATCTTTCTTCCTACGAACTGTTTCTTCCTGTACTATATCCTTATTGCAATCTTTCTTTTATATATTACCACCTCTGAATTAACTACTTTTATGAATTTGGTGTTCATCTTGTTGTGTTAATGAGGTACGGCAACTTGGACCGATGTATATATGTGCCTGGTCCTACGTTGTAGCTGACTGACTGACTGAGAATGCGGTTGTAGATGCCGAAAATAATGTACATATGATGGGATACTGAGACTAAGTTATCTATCAAAAGATAAAGATACTACTTAATCTGATATAAATAAGTCTGTTGGTTCTTAGTGGGTAGCAATTTTTCCGCAGAACATTGACGGTGAGAAAAATTACAGAAGCAGGAGAAAGTGGATAACCTAGTAATTCGTCTGATTGATTTGGTGTAAGGATAGTTAGCCTTTGGTTCTCACTTACAATTCTGTTTTACTCAATATCTCATGCTAATGGATTTGGATAAGGTATGAACAATATCTGAAACATAATGCCAGTTAATTCTTATTTCTTACCAGCCGTTCTCAACTATTCATACTAGCATATAAGAATATAAAATAATTACTAGGAAAATCCCAGGTTTTCTAGTTTCTTTTTGGAACGATAACTATGAATAAAAATCACCCATGACCTTTGTTAGTTTCAGATTAGTTACAGGGACTTTGAGCTCCGGTTTTTGTATCTCAAGGTTATTGTAATTGTTTTCGCCAAATATCAAGCTTTCTTCCGGACTGCTACTTTCCTGTTGTGTCATCGTTGTCTAGTTATATCGAAAATGTTATTATCAAGTGCCAGGCTATTGCGCTTTTTGAGGATGTAAGAAGTTTTAATATCAGGGTCTTCGGAAAGTGTTGGAAGATAGAGATGTGTACTCTTATATGTATATTCCTACAGTGCTTGTGTATGATACGTACATATAGATTGGTAAATAGTCTGGAGTACCGAGGAAAGACCGTGTTAATTGGTTTAAGGGAGCAGCTTGTCAGATGATGAAACGTGCCCTTGGGACAAGCTGATTAGTCGTTTGTAGACAGGAGGTTCAACAGTGAGTGATTTTATCAAAGCATTATTACTTGGACCGATGCATCAATTTAGAATATTCTATTTCGGTTTGTCAACCAAAAATAGTTTAGTTAACCACCTGGTATAAGCTGAGCGGTTAACTTGAATAAATTTAATCCGGCACACATCAAGGACTGCACAGAAACTAGGTAGTTTCTTATCATCACTGACATTCATTAATAGCCGTAGGAACGTCAAATAGTGCCAAGTCGTTACAGTTAGGATTAACTTTACTCAGTGGATATTGTTATTTTTAATATTGAGTTTTGATTGGGATCTTGAATTGATCAATGTTATTTTTACTGGTTAGCGTTTTTTCCCTACAAAATATGGTTGCAAACCCTTCTCCTTTGCCCGGGCCTGGGACTGGCAGTAACCACCATCAAAATCCTGAAAGCGCTGGGCGGCCGTTCCATCCTAATATGGGACCTCTCAGCAGCGCGCCTCCACGATTCCACACACGGGACTCGAAAAATAACTGGAAAATTTGCTGTGTGAAAATGTTAACGACGTAATCATCAACACAACAATCATCTTACAAAATATGGCCACCAACCGTGTTAAGTCCAATCCAGCTTGTTTTATTTATAGAAGAGGATTTCTAGAACTTAAAAGTCGACTATTACTGATTCTCTCATCCCAAAATAGCTTAATTTATCACCTAACTCGCTACTATACAAGCTTATGAGTACTTTTGGTGTAACTCAGAATCTATTGGGTAGAATTTTCAAACTACTGCGCACTATACAACTATCATTCATTGTGGTGTGTCCCTTTTATCTTTAGTGATGGTGTAATACGTTAGTTTTGCACTCATTTATCTTATAGGTGACTGATTAGGATTAAAACTTTGAGAAGCTCATTTAGATGCCGCATTATTAGAGTACATGAGTTTGTGTAGATGACACCACTTTGAAGATAAATAGTATGATGGGCTGGAACGACAGAGAAGTCAGTCATCAATAGACGGTTGTTTAACATTTATTTTAAACGAATCAACCCTCCAGACGTAACACTACACTGTGACTCATAGTCGACAGATTTACTGCTACAAAAAAGACTCGTCATCAAGATGTTACAGTTCAAGGGAAATTAATATTCATCCTAATGTATACATGAGAAAGTTTGGAGTTCATAATTTCTATCAAAAAGCATATAAAGAATCACGATAGATTCTATTCTTGAAAAAAACCATTATATCTAGTTTTACTGATTCTCAATCATACTACTTTAAAGTAGTATATATTAGACTGCTAAAGTAAAATTAACGATATATGATATTACGAGGTTTATTTATTTTGAAAAGTATAACAAACAAAAATGTTGGAAGAATGGATGTTATGCACACCAACATATTTGTGCTCACAACATACGTATTATATATGTACTACAGTCAATTGATTTTCTTAAAATTACAAAAGATGTATGTGTGTATGTATGTGAAATTGTTGTAATCACCGGAAGGTGTTCAATTATCAATACGTAAACAATTGAAAATGAAATAAGAATCAAAACATGAATTCATCACAATAAGATACTCGATTATCATTAATAATAATGGTAGTAATGTTGATCAATTTTCAGTTGATATCAATGAATTATTTGTTGATTGATAAATTGGATTTGAATTGTCCAACAATAGACTTGTACTAGTTGATGATAACTGATCATCATAAGCTATTTCATCATAATCTACAGAGTTTAAATCATAGTCTGTGGGATTAGGGATTGGTGAATCAAAATTACCCCTGATCAACTCATCAAATAACTCGTCCTCTGAATCGTTTATACTATTATTATTATTATTATTATTATTATTATTATTATTATTATTATTATTATTATTATTATTATTATTAGTAGCATTGATGTTGTGATTACCATTATTGTTTGTCTGAATAGTTTTTTCATCATTACAAATTGTATTCTCAATGAGGCAGATGTTTTCATTATGAAGAAATTGATTGGGCTTATTCAAACTACATTTGTTCAAGTGATTCGTTTCAATGTTCAATTGATTGAATTCATTAGATTTCTGATTAGTTAGTGATTTCTTTGTTGTTGTTGTTGTTTGATTGGTATTGCCCACTTGTTTACCAACCAATTCATCATTCTCAATTATGTTTAAATTCTTATTACAGTTAGTGTTTTGAATGTTGTAAACGTTGGAGACACTTAAATAATAATAATAATAATAATAATAATAATAATAATAATAATAATAATAATAATAATAATAATAATAATAATAACAGTAGTAGAAACAATCGAAAGGAAATAATAAGTGTATTTGGAAAACTACAGGTAATCAGGATATCACTCATTTGGACAAGTGGAACTGAATGTTAAATATTATTTCCTGTAAAAGGTATCATCAGAAATAGTGTTCGATAGTATACCTTTATTGGGTCATATACTATATAGTCTAAATTTAAGAGGATTTTTTGCAAAGTAAACAAGTGTCAAGGATTGACGTTCTTAAATTTATCTTTATAGTTTAAATCACAAACTGATCTATGTAGAAAACCTGGGAGCCCTGGATGGCCTTTACGTCCTAATGTTGGACACCTCAATAGTGCGTATCCATGATCGCGTACGCTGGAGTCGAACCAAGGACCTTTGGTCCCATGTATGAACGCTTAGTCTCTAGACCATTGGACTAGCATACAACGATGTCAATGTATAAGTTTAGTCAATTGACGTTCTCGCTCAGCCATCATGTATTGTCTGAGGTGGATAACTTTCCTTCAATCAACATGGTTCGACTCTGCTGGTTGTGGCTTCTCATCAGAACTCTAGAAATTGCATCTCAAAACTAATAACTAGTGAGCACGTGATTATTTTTGGTATAAGGGGGTTTGTGGAGCATATTTTAATTTGTAGTTTGTACTTGTCACGGACTGACTTCAGTTGGGCCAGCATTGAAAACTAGGAAACAACGGACAGCTGTTTTGCCTCAGTAGTGAACACTTACAACCTCTCTAGATATGAAACCTAGGGTTTTCTGGTTTGTAGCGAACACCTACCTATTAAAACCACTGGCTTGGCATCTAGTGGCACAATTCCAACCTCAATCAATTCGCGTCGTAGCTCAACGACCAAGTAACTCCATAATAATCTAAGACGAATACAACCTATACATCTTAGAACTCGTTATAGAGAAGCTAAGGAGTTAATTCATGACTAGTAGTAGTTACGCGACTTAACATTGATGAATTAATAATGATTTAACCAAGAGGTACTCTTAAGATTACTAGAGAGTCTAGGCTACCAACATATATACGCTCCAAGTATTTGAATAGATGGAGGTTACGCGTAAGATACCGAGTATAAAGAGCAAGTCGACTGATACCTTAATTTTTTTGTCAACTAAGGGGTGGTTATTTCACGTGTTATTTATGCTTAGGCACTGCCCATCCCGACATACTATGCTGAATAGCAGAGTAGAAGATTCTAAACAAGCTGGAGCTGGACGGATTAAGACATGGCACTAAGCCAACACGCTGTTATTTACTGGTTTAAGTCAAGATTGATTTCAAGTTTTCCCACTGCCTAAGTTGCAACCCATTTTGGAAAGGATAAGTTCTCCGGTTACGGGTTGTACAGTAGTCACGATCCGAATTAAGAGAAATCAGTTGAAACGGTTGCAATAGAGCGCATTCATTCATACTGAGTCTTCGTTTGAATATTGAACACTGTTCCTGGCTGTTCATTTTATTGATCTAGCTGAGTTCTTGTAAACTGTATCTTTCATGTTCTGTCTTTCTTTTACAAATGAAATTGACTCATGTTTATTGATTTTGATTTAGCTAATCGTCTCTTTCATAGTGCTGATATGAGTTAAGGAATAAAATAAGTAAAGTATGACATTTTGATAAACTCACTGTGCATTTCATTTCTTCAATATTAATATACTAAATATTAACCATTAGTGAAATTCTCAAAAAGATAGTGGGAAAATACAAACCCTTAAAAATATCTTTATACCCATCAAACAAGTTCGCAGCTATCTGGACTTTGTAGTTCAACGGATAACGCGCTGGTATTTAAAGCGATAGATAATAGGTTTGCATCTCAATCCGAAACATTAACATTGAGTTAAAGGTACATCACCAGAGTGAGGAGTCTTAAACAAGACGAAACGCACAAACTAGACTCCATTGTTAGCCACATTTCAATTTTATTAAATCTTTTTACTAAATGACACTATCGAAGCAGTCTATTCAGGATGCGTATATGTCAATGGAGAGTGATCAATTATGGTCTTGAATATCAGCAATGAGAACATGCAAACTCTTACAAATAATTACACTTAACAGTCTACCGAAACCTTAGAAAAATGATCATTTAATTAAGTGATTTTTACCATGTTGAACTGTTTGAATCGTTTAGCATTGATATTTCATTTGTATCACCTATTTCAATACTTTTCACCTTTGGTATACACCCATTCATTTGTTTATTATCTAAAAGAAATCATACAGAAACAAATAAATAGTTATGTTCAATGTATTTAATTGGTGAAATTTGTAAGTCAGTAATCAAATGACCAAATAAAATCATCATTACGGACTGACATTGGTTAAACAACCATTGAAAATCAAGAAGTAATGAGTAGATATTTTGACCTACTATGAGAATCTTCGGAACGGAGCGTCTTCGAAACTACCAGCTTTTTAGAGGTAATTCCTTGAGTTCTAGAGCGAAACTGAGACCAATGGCAATCAACCATATAGGCAGTGAGGCATTTTGTTATCAGTAGTATTAAATGATGGCCTCCCAATACATCTAGTTAAATTAGGTTAAAATGTAAACCGTGATCAGGGGTTCGATATGTCTAAAGGTTTTATCTCTTTTTGATTGAGATCATGAAACTATTGATGTTAAACCACCTTTGAAAACCTGGAAGCACTGGATGGCCGTTTCGTCCTATTGTGGGACTCCTCAGCAGTGCGCATCTATGATCGCGCTCGCGGGATCCGAACCCAGGGCCTTCGGTCTCGCGTATGAAGGCCTAACCAACTAGACCACTGAGGCGGCATCCAATGGTGATAGTGTCTAACATTAACCAATCCACGAAATTGCGCGGACTATTGAAAAGTCTCATAACATGATGAAACAGCTTTCAAATGCTTCTTAGTTTTAATGGCTGTCTAAAAACAGCCAGTTTATGATGATCAACAAAAAATTTAGACAATCATCATAACCAATTTATACGAATATTCGTTAATATTAGAACGAATAGTATGACGAAAATTGGGCGCCAAATATAGAGAAATCACTATATGTGAAAATTATATCTAAAATAATCTGAGCGACCGAAATTTAAATAATCCCAACATGGTGGAGATTTGTAACTCGGGTGGATGATTTTGATGAAGTTTTGTTCTCTGAGCTGGGTGGTTTAGTCGTGGAGCTTAAATCGTACTTCTGAACAACATCATCAGCACAAACTTCAGGTAGAAGTGAAGTGTTCAAATTTCTCCACATATGGCTTACAGCTTGTTCTGTAAATCTCGATATTGATTGGTTCTTGTTGACCGTAAATCAATGACAGAAATGATGAAAGCTCCACGACCAAACAACCCAGCTCAGAGAACAAAACTTCATCAAAATCATTCACCTGAGTTACAAATCTCCACCATGTTGGAATTATTATATATGCAACATGATAACTAACTTGCTTCTTTACCAAGTAATCGATTCTTCGTATTATTATTATTATCATCATCATTTGAATATGTACCAATTATTGTAGCTGCTTTCAATTCAGCAAACATTTGGTCTGTTTGTGAACTTTTCTTAAAAATGTCTAAATTATCAATTAGTTGTTCTGTAGAATTAGTCGACGGATGATGATGATGGTCAGCGGTACTGTTATCTAAACGATAATATTGATGTTCAACGTTACTGTTGTCATCATCCATAGAATTTTTGTGATTAATATTTTCATAGTTCGTAACCCTTAGATTATTATTATTATTATTGTTACTAGTTATAGATGTGTTGTTAGTTATTTGACTTTGTTCTTGTTCATCTTCTGAGTTTAAAGGGATTACTTTGCTATTATTGACATTATTATTATTATCATTGTCATTATATGAATTCGACATAGTACTTTTGATACTGGTATGAGTAGCTGTATTTGTACATGTAGAAGGAATCCATGCAATATGTGGATTGGATACTTCATATTTCTATATTTGAGTTAAATAATAAAATAAAAAGAAGTTGATAAGTTAATTACATGATTTATCTGAGAAATTAGGATAAAGCTGTCAAATAGCATGTTTCTTTCAAGTTTAATCCTTAGCTTGAATGTATTTGGACAATCAGTAAATAGGAGCTGCTTAAGTGATCTTGATGACTACATAATATTCCGAAATGATGTAACTTATTAATAAAAAACATATCTGTAAACTGTTGATACAGTCCATTCAGTACATAGTTATAAATGGCGGTTATAGATTTGTGATTGATTATCTTCTATCCCAAAATTATTTGTTACAGAAGTAGGATATGTGTGTAGGCCATTATGAATGAATTGATTATTTTATCTGGTTAAGTTTATTCACTTACATGCTAAAAATACAACTAGGTTATAATGCAATTAGAAGTTCAGAAGTTGGACGAAGTCGACAGAAGATTTTTGGGTCTAAGTTTTATGTTATTTAATACTTGTCAATAAGGGGTATCTTCATGAGTAGTCATCACTCAGCCCTATTTAATTCTAATGTAGGCTACCAAATTTACATTCATTCTAACACAAACATACAGTATTTTTGTCATTAAAGTTTCCTGAAGGTCAAAATTATGACTGACATATAATGGTGTGATTTGTTTTAACACACAATATCCCTGATTACACATTGTTCTAGGTAAACGGCGCTACATATAAGTCCGAACTTACTAAATATACTATTATGAGATTATCAATCAGTAATTAAAATACTAGTTGAAGGACATTTTTCTTAGTTCACGTTAGTAGTAACCGGTTAAGGACATCTCAATTTATCTTGTTTTTGTGAATAAATATAAGATGTGAGACTAACCATTCTCTTTTCAATTTTCATTTTTCTCGCATCCGAAGATCATGTTCTGTTGATACAGGTACACCTTGCTGACGAGTGCCAAACAGCACGAAACCCGGGTCCAGGGTTTCATGTCGACTACCTCCAACCACCATCTAATCTCAATATATAGTGCACGCAGTGTCGAGTCACCTAGACTAGTGGCCATATTGAAACATGATCGATAGTACTCGATCTGCACTAATAAGGACTAGACACACATGACATTGATCGCCACCCAGTGATTAAACAATTCTTTTCCTTTATACTTAGATGTTTGTTCTCTAAACAATCGATTTACACTAAACCGTAAAAGTCTAAAATTCAATTATTACTATCATTCAGTAGTTGAGATCATGAGTCAATTGAAGCTAGAACACTAAGGAAAAACTGGAGGCGCTAAAGGGCCGTTTCGTCCTATTGTGGGATTCCTCAGCAGTGTGCATCCATGACCCCACCTCGTGGGATTCGAACCCAGAATCTATCGGTGCTGAGGAGTCGCACAATAGGACGAAACAGCCTTCTAGTGCTTCCAAGTTTTCCATGGTGGTCTAGTTTCAATCGATTCACGATTTCAATTATTGAAGTTATTATTATCTCCACAAAACCCCTTCTGATAAGAATCTATATTGTTTTTCATAAGAAATGATCACAAACTCGTTCGAACCAATCTCAAGAAACAAACCAGACAATGAAGTTTTAAATTTAGAATGGTTCAAAACAAAAAATATAAAGGAAAATGGACTAATTTAATAATCTTCAACTTTCATTATTATCTTTAAACATTCATCCATTATGTAATGATACAATGGAATTAAGAAGAACTTACATGTTGTATACTATTTTTATTATCACTAATTATCTTTTCGTTAGTTTTAATTGAATTCTGCGGATTCTCTGTTTGTACAGCACGTGTTTTAGCAATCGTTTTCCATTGAATATGCCCTTTTATTTGTTTAGTATTAGATTTTTCATGATTATGGACAATAGATTTATGTTTAGTATGTTTTATACTTTTCTCAATTTTATTTTCTTCTTTATTCATTTTATTACTACTTATTTCATGATAATAAGTAGAAGAATGTTTTTTGTCAATATTTTCTTCTTCTGTAATACGACTAATAAGAGAGCATAATTGTTCAAATGTATCTTGTAAAATATTCAGTTCATCATTGGATATATTAGATTTATTCCTAGAATTATTGGGAAAATTTAAATATATTGTGAAATTAAGACATTTTAGGAATTAATTTAATAAAAACGTAGTTCATGATCTCAATCAAAAACTTAATAATTTCCACAACCCCTATAATAGTAATTAAGATGTGCTCACTAGTGATTAGCTTCGTGAGGGAATAATTCTCGGAGTTCTAATGAGAAGCCGTGATCAGTGGAGTTAACCCATGTCGGGTAGAGACAGGTATCTACCTCAGTACAATGGAAGATGGTCGCGTAATTTCGTGGATTGGTTGATGTTAGACACTATCACCATTGGATGCCGGCTCAGTGGTCCAGTAGGTTAAGCGTTCGCGCGTGAGACCAAAGGCCCTGGGTTCGAATCTCGTGGGGAGCGGGATCGTGGGTGCGCACTGCAGAGGAGTCCCACAATAGGACGAAACGGCCATCCACTGCTTCCAGGTTTTCAAAGGTGGTCTAACATCAATCGGTTCATGATCTCAATTAAAAACTTTTGAAAAAACTTGATCTACTCTATGTTATGCCCCGATAAGAATAATGAGTGGACCAATACTATACGTGAGTGAGTGAGAAAGAGAGAATAGTATCTAGCTTCATTAAACATTTTTGAACGCATATTGAATTAAATTCTTTATAACACAGTCTGCCTTAGGAACAGGTATGTTTTGTAATTCACCTTAAGTATAATTTAAAATCCACTTTTTGGTTGCATAGCAGAAATTCTTGGTGGTTTCAGACATTTTAAGAACTAAATATTGCTAATTTTCACTTAGTTGATAATAACATACAAGTTATCTATCACTTCACTTTAAACTTTGTACAAAATAATTGAGGTATTATCTTAATTCTGATGGGTTAACTCAAGGCCATCAATATACTACCCTTTTATCCGTCTCATAAATGATGTTAGATGGGAATACATCAGTGTTGCAAGTGAACTGGTAGAAAATACATGTAATTACATTTATAGTTATACAATATATCCTTGTGGGCCAGGGTAATTTTACATTGGTTTTCAAGAGAACCAGACACCATGCAGATTTTCACGTGACAGCTCAATCTCGTTTAACAGGAGAGCCAGACACCGCCCAGGCTTAAATTTTATAATCCGAGCAGTACAGCTCAATCCCGCTTCATAGGAGAACCAGACACCGTATAGGCCTTAACGCTACAATCTGAATAGTACAGCTCAATCCTGTGGCGCAACTACACAGGTACCAAGCACCCTGGTGTACCATTCGCACCATTCATATACACATTTACATCACATGTATAGTTATTCCGATCAATGATCGCGTGAATCAATGATGCACAGCACGAACAGACCAAAGCTGACCTATTTCGCTTACACGACGGTCAAACTCATTAATGTTAGCAATGGCGACATACCTTACAATGTTCCAATGACAATGGCTCTTAAGAACACTGAAAAGCAACCACCAGTATGAATGAAATTGGTTAACCAGCAAACCAATTTTGTGCATGAACAGTCAGAAAAACTTGCCAAAGCAATGCCGAACCATCCACAATACCAATGGCGAACCTCCAGTCTCATATGAGACCTTCAGCTCTACATAGCCATATAACTTAAATAAATATATTTTTCAATAATCACAACTGAAACGTATGTTAAGCAAAAATTCAACAAAATATTACATAATCGATGTTACGAATTCCGTTTCTTAATGTGACAAAATTCATTGTGTTGAATAAGGTTGGCATTATTGTTTTAATTATTATCGTTTAAGCTAATATCAGTACGTGAAGAAAATGAACTTCGAATCAGATTTCATGAAAGAATAATGAATGATATTTATAATAGGAATTATTTAATTTGAATTATACATATATGATTAGATAGTGTTGAATTCTTCGACCAATATGGCTTAATTGTGGAGCTCTCATTGTCATTCTGGATCATTCGTGCAGAATCGAACCTTTTAGTTATTCCATATGTATCATGATGATTCATTCTGATGGCTTTGATCGTGCTTGGCTGTCGTCATAGGTTTCATTGTCCCCATTTACCGTTTCATTCACGTTAGCTATCTTTTTTTGGTTAACTCCTGGCATTGTGATCGGTTGACTTCTTCTGTACGAATTCATAAATGTGCCTGTTGATCATTAATTAATCTGAATCCTGTGCTTTTAAAAATTCCCTAACATTCCTAGAGTTTCTCCGATCCAAATTTTTGACGTTCATTCAATCAAATTGGTGTCTATAGTTATCAGTGATGGTAGATCACGTCGCCACACTACCAATCTGTGTTCATTTATCTATATATATAATCTAAAGTGTAATGTTGAAAGAATCCTGACTACATTTTAGAGTCTTTCAAGATGTTGCTGATATACTACTTAAAGTTGTGGTTTTAAAGTCAATGGTTTTACCAGTTCGATGTCTCACACAAATTATATATATATATTAAACATACTTCGAATTTTGAAGAGTTTCAATCATATTTGTCAAACGACAAATGAAGTTTCTCAATTGATGGATTGAATCTTGATCAATTTGAAATAGATGCTTGGATTCATTCTCTTGTTGAACAAACTAAAAATAAATATTACAACGAAGAGAGAAAAGAATCAGAATCAGTTCATGTTGAATAATTAATCATAAAAACCTAGTAATTTGGAAAAAAATAATAAGAATATTTATGTACCTACTAATGACTAATTTTGATTGGTTATTCCAGGAGTTCTAATGAGAAGCCATAGCCAGTGGAGTTCAACCATACTGAGTATGAAGTAGTTAGTCACCAATGGAATTAAAAGTTAGCTTCAAAATATCGCAAACTGAATTAAGTTAGAAATGTCATAAAATATGATGTCAACTCACTGGCATAAATATCAAGCGAATTCTACGAAACCTGAAGCTCCTGTGTTAAATCTCCTTTGGTTATCTAACTAAGATCACTTCGTGATATACAGTATATAAATCAACAATCTTTACAAACCACTTTTACTAAAATGATAATAAGACATTTTGTATTGGTTGTTTGAATCTTCCCATTGATGTTTAAGATTACAGTTGATTAGTCTCTTATTGGTAGATGTGCATTCTGTGCGGATTGCATCGATATTGCCCTAAATCACAAAAGCTATAATTAGAGATGGATGGTGGCTAGCAGTGAAATTTTAGACGCACGTTTCGTTCCATCCCAGAGTTGGTGTTCACTCCGGCACTCAAACCCACTACCATTCGTTTCAAAAGCTATCACATTATCCACTTAGCTACTGAATCTAGACAGCCACAAGCTTGTGCAATGGGGTGAACATCAACTCTGAGATGCAGGTACATCCAACTACCGAGGAATTCCAAATAGGACGAAAAGCACGTCCTGAATACTACTGATAGCCACCATCCATTTCTGCTTATATTGCTAGTGAAGCCAAAAAAGAATAAGTATACCATAATTATGTAACTTATATGAAGGGAGAATAAAAACTATTTTTTGTTTGCCAAATTATACTACTATTATTACGACCATACGACCAGTGAGTGAGATTATGTCAACACTAGATTATATACTCGATCGATACGCTATCCGCATAAAGTTACCAAACTAAAAGTGCGAATAACCAATCTAATAACACAAAAGATCAGCAAGGAAGTATGAATTAGAAAGAAGCAACTGAAGTCTTTACGATCACTCTGATAAATGTTTAGCTGACCTTACAAAGCACAGTCGGACAAATCCACATATAAATTTACAGATCAAAACTGTGTAGTAAATATATGTTTGGTGAATGAATGATATTGAACTCAAAACAGTACCGGTGTTTTGATTTCACTTTGAACAGATAGTACAATAATGTCATGATGATTTAGCATACTGGCAACAACAACTTATTTTCATTACGAACTAATTTTTGGTTACCATAGAATGTAAAAAGAATGTGAAACTGTTGTGGTTAAAGTCTCTAACTTTAAGTCACTAAGTTCCAGGTTCGAACCAGCTAGTATCAGTAGTACATTTTATTGTGTGGCTTGTGACCTAGTACATGTATCTGTGCCTTGTTAATGAATCATTCTACACTGAAGAGAAAAATTTAGTATCGGCTAGTACTACTACCCATATGTAAACTAACTTTAATATTTTAGCAATTCAAAGAATAAATTTTCAGTAAATCTCGTTGTAGATATTTATTGACTTTTCTGGTGATTCAGTGTATGCTGTTGTACTGATGAAGACAACAAAAATATGAAATATGCATACCTGACGATTTTTCAATAACCGATCAGATTTTCGTTTTTCAGTTTGTAAATCTTTTTCAAGTTGTGATACTTTCGTCTAGTGTGTAAAAATAAAAAAAATATGTTAATAATAATAATAATAATAATTAACTCAGTAATATGCTCGCTTATTAAGATAACTGAATGTTCATAGTTCTATCTCCGGTAAAAGTAGTGAACAGGTACATGGTGCGGGGGGTCCTAAGATAAAACAAATAAGTTTAGTAAAAAAGGGAGTCAGTTATCTAGAACATTACACTGAAGAAAGTCCTGAATTTCGCAAAATCAAATCAACATTTTGTTGTGACTTGCAGATTAGAGCGAAGTGAATTATCGATCGGACCAAAGATGCGCAAACACATAAGAACAGGCTAGAGTTCTGATTGGTCTCGCTTCCCTGTCTAGCCCAGCCAGTTGAGTCCAGAACGCAAGTCTCAGCCTCTGAGATATGAATCATTGTATTTCAAACATACTCTGTTTATATACCAATCAAACAGACCACATCGTACCATAAAATAGAAAATAACATTGTACAATATTGACCAGTAGGAAGACGACAGGTGAAATAAATATCGACCAATTAGAAAATGATACCATCTCAAGTCCAAGGATAGCGTTAGACTTAACAGGATAATTTTTGGGATATTCTTCTGAATATCCCAACACATTTCATGACCAAAAATAACCTACCATATTAGTAAATAATAAGCGTCAAGTTGTGTGATACAAATCTATAGTTTATGTCAGTAAGTACAATATAGAGATAAAATGCTGTTTCTTGTAAGACCTTAAAATATAAGTTCAGAATAGTTGGTTAGTCATCGTTACCATAGAGCCTGGCAGATAGGCATGCTCATTCAAGTTGTCATATCACGAAATGGTAAACAAAAAAGAGATCGGAATAATATGTAGAAACAATGATAATGAGAAAGACTGAATATTAAAAATACAGTTTGAGAAGATAGACTATAAAGGTATATATGAAGGAGTACAGGTGTTAAAATAGAGGATGAATGCATCTAAGCTATTGTGAACGATTCTGAGTCATGCCACCCAACATCTCTAACCATTGATCGCAGTTATCGCTACGAATCAATTCAAACAGTCTGGGTCTATTAAGATGTATTGATTAAACCAACAGTTAATAACCTCCTGCATTGATTTCATGTTTCGATTTGGCTGCTCTTAAATTTCTGTCAACCCAATATCTATTTTAAGTAGTTATGAAAGATTCCATAAAACGATCGTATAACTAAGTTGTTTAACATTTCATAGTTTAAATGTGTTGATATATGACAGGAACTACTATGGAACTCTTCAATACATTACTTACGCGTACTGCCCCTCGTAGAGGAGCATAGCCTGCTTACCAGCATTCTCCATCCACCTATGTCCTAAAGATTATGTTTTGTAGCTATGAAAAAGAAAAAGATGAACTGATGTACGGTATATTTATTCTTTGGTTAACAGACAAATATTTCACCTACATCATAAGCTGACAAATCCAAAGCAGCTTTCTGAATCCATTTCGATTTGAGCAAGCGTTATTTTATGAATAGTTCGCATACACTCATAAACGATGTCGTTAGGTTGGGCACACAAATCACAGTTAAACACTTAATTATTAATATAGAAACACTTATTTACCACGTATTACAAAAAACTCTCTTCAGTGTTGAACATTCAGCATACTCATTTATTGTTCAATGTTTCACTGTGTTATTGTTTGTGTTTACTTTATATGACGAGAATGCAAGATAAAAAAAATGGGAACAAACTTTGAAGGAAGAGGGTGACTAAAACAAACCAACAACCGCTAAGAACACAAAAAGAAATAAGGTCATATTTAGTTGAAATGTTATTATAGTCAATCAGTATACATTAGCGTGTATTTGTGCATCACTTTACCCTTTGCTTTTCGATTGTTCAAGAATGAAAATAGAAGTTCAGCAAGACCATAATTTATGAACAAACCGATCAGATTTAAATCCGCTTGTAGCCCTTCTAGAGTTACTGCCGGTCCCAAGTCCTAGTAAAGGAGAAGGGTTAGGCATGGGGTCAGTAACCCCATCTCGTAGAAAACAACCCTGCTAAAAAACGCTAGCTAGAACAAACAAATTAAACCATTCGATGCATAATACAAAATAAAATATCAATTAATTTAACTACACGAAAAATTTCATGAAATATTAACCTACCATAAGCTGTTTTAATTTATGCTGAAAATTCATCCCTGATAATTCTGGGGAACTTATTCTGGAATTGATCATTGAACATGATTTTTGATATGTTGGGTTTTGTCGGTTATGCCCAAGACGCTGTTGTGTTTGTGATTGACGATGATGTTGGTAATGACATTCATCAGCGATAACCCTATTCAACGTTTTTGCACATGGAAGAATAACAGATTTATTGACATTCTGATTTATATTATTAACATTTGATGATTGTTTATTGACAAGATTATAATCCAAATGTAGAGCACGTGATTCAAGGCATGTTTTACCTGGACAGTGAAAATTTGGATAGCCTCTATGATTAAGAAAAAGAAAAAAAACAAGGTTATAAATGGTAGATATTCATGTTCGTACTTTAGTGAAAATAAACAGATATCTTTGTTTAGTTTATCTGGGGCAGTAAGATAGGAGAGCAATTTTATTGATTTAGTTCGAGTATTGATTTGCTCTTCTAAACCGTCTATCTAGTTTGAATGACCTACGGCTAAGTAATAACATGCTAAATGTGAGATAACATCTGAGTGTGACGTTAAATGACTATTGGTCCAGAATGTAAATTCTTACGTTTGCTTACTCTCCCTACAGTCAGAATAGAGAACAACTCGACAAGTAGTTAACTTTTAACAATACAGTTCGCATTTAATAATCATTCATACAGCAATAAAGAGCTTATTAGAAACTGCCACATGATGAAAAGGATAACTAACGTAGTAAGTCTATATATGTTCGAGATTATTCAGTAGAAAGATCAACTTGAATCGAGTTTCATACTTGTCAAGATTCACTATTCAGGACTATAGTTAGTAAGCGTTACCGTTAAATCATAAATGACTTTCTATATGATTAGATAGAAACAACTATTTTTATCAATGATTGAAAGTAGACAGTATGTTTTGTAATCTGATTTAAGAAGTATTAAACCCCAGTGTTTCAAATGAATGATTGAGTTTACAAATATCAAGAAAAAAATACCGGACCTCATATTTATCTAGCCTTTATGAAAAAGGACCAAATAAATTTGTCAGTCAATTGTTTTCAAAATTAGAAGACTAAAGTGAGTCAACATTTCAGGGCGTAATATTTCGATATACCATCGTTTCTGTTTGGTAATTGGAAATAGACGGTAGGAAATCCTAGACCTAGATTACTTGCTAGTTGGCACTCATCAAGTAAATAAGACAAGTGATTGGAATATAATAAGGGTCAACCAGTTTGAAACCTAGGTTTATGGGTTTGTATACTGTCCGTTGGCCGGATATAATGAGCTACAGTCTACTATGGAAGAGAACAAACGAACTTGCAGCTGAAGAGGAAGTTAGGAAAAGACATTAGAAGTAGATAGGACATACATTGTGAAAATTATCAAACTGCATCACGAGGCATGCGCTAACTTGGAATCCTGAAGGGAAACGGAAAAGAGGAAGACCAAAGAGCACACTGCGTCGAGAATTGGAAGCAGACATGAAAAGGATCAATCGTAACCGGAAACAACTGAAAAGGATTGCCCAAGACAGGGTTAGATGGAGAATGCTGTTGGGGAGCCTATGCTCCTCGCACGAGGGGTAACAGGCATAAGTAAATAAGTACTTCCAACTACTTAATATCAAAACGTACTGTACATGATGTTAAATCACTTAGACACTGGCAACTACATTGAAAAGTGATCAGTAGAATTTGATTAGAAATAGGAACTGAATAAAAATGACATTTGTTACAACTCAGTGACTAGTCTTCTGCTCTTCAGCTTTAACTTCCTTTCATCCCCGTTTTTGTCCGACTCCCAGATTGCTAAGATTTTCCCTTCGTTATGTTGATATAAGTTATGGAGTAACTTGGACTAAAACACAGGTTTATACTACGTTATCTATGGTCGACTGACTGATGGTCATTTATGGTATATTCAAAATTTAAAAAAATGAATAAATACATGAATCTTACCGACAGCGTGATGCTCTTGCGGCAGTTCTCCACGGTATTCCTGCAGTAAAACTTGTTTGACTTGATAATGGAGTAGTTGGTCGACTATAATATACATTTTGATTAGTTTTAGCCACACCAGGTGGTTTCCATACTGCTCGTTCACTTAAAGGCTGGCCAGAATCAGAACAATGTAAATGACGATTACACTTCTTATGTAAGTCTACATTACATTTATGATGTGTTCTATGATCTAGATAATGTGCAGGATCCGCACTACGGCATCTTGGTCGACCACCAGCAGGCTTAAAAAACAAATTAAAGAGAAAGTAGAAATAAATACTCATCATATCAAGTTTTACATAATAACTAAGGACTAAATGCATTAACTATATAAACCAATATCTTTGTGATGATGTTTAACACTGGATTTTGATCAATAAATTCATTGTTTCTAGCACCAAAGCGTTATCTTCTAGGCTATTTGATTACGATACCTGATACCTGAGTTATTCGTCACAATTTAATCTCTTTCTGAGTGCCATTGAAAATCATGAAGCAATCAACAGCTGTTTCGTACCGTAATGCAATTCTCCAGCAGTGAGCACCGATCTCTACGACAAGGATCGTACCCTGAACCTTCAGATTTCACTGCCAATTCTTGACTTTTAGAAACTGTAGGTCACTCATATTATAAGTTTCTTGACTTTGGACTTTGAAATTATATGTTATTTAATTAAAACTCTGTGATTAAATGTTATATTACACACCCTAGAACCTAATATTCCAAGATTCAATCCCTTTACAAAATTGTGGGTACGCATCATTAAGAATTGTCATAACAACAATACAATATCATTTGACCAGTTGAATAGTTCAAATTTCAATATAATAAATAATGACATATTGTGAAGGTGATTAAAATAGATAACTTTCTTGGAAAGAAAAATAATCAATAAGAAATGAAATTATCTTTCTCCCAAAAGAATAATCTGTTTACATATTTTTTTGGAAAGGGAGGGGGGGAATAATAAATAGGTTGATTATGTAAATTATGAACTTTTGTTTTGATTCAATATCCTACCCTAATTGCTTGTATATACTTATCTATGTGTGTAGTTCTTATTACATAGACTGATGTCTATTTACCAATCTTTATCAGTCTTGTGTTATACACTTTGAACCATCCCTGACCACCTGCTTCACTTATTCACAGGTGTGTATGTTAGTGCACATGACAACAATAAAAAGTAATGTACTATTGATGATATATGTGTGTGTGTATGTGTATGTTTGTGCGTTGGCTGGTATTCTCTCAATCTCTCTCTTCACTTTATGTTCGCTGAGGTGCTCACATACATACTTATCACACAAGCAGACATACACATACGTACACACAATCATTGAAGACATTGGATCTTTGTCTTTGAATAAAGTATAGTGAGGAGTGAGAGAGAGAGAGAGGACATAGAATGATAAAATGACAATCAGGGTTTTTTTCTTTTTCAAAAAACCAAACTAAACTCAATAAAAATTTCATTCCGACAAGGAAGTAAGTAACAGCCATTTTAAAGAAGGGAACATTAGTAGTTGATTATTTCTCTTTACTCTCATTCTTATCAGTCTTTTTTTGTTTTTTCTCTTAGGAATTAGACATGTAGCCCTCAGAGGGAAAATGAGAATGAGAAAAAAATTGGCAAGTTGTTCTCTTTTTTTTCTTCTTTCACTACAAATTGTATTATAGAATGAATGAAATGTGGAAGATGTATGTTCATCTATTACACTTTATTATTAAGGTTGAAAGATTTAATTTAATTGAATAAGAGAAATGATTCGAAAATCATGGAATGACGTAAACAAGAGAAGTTTTCGAAGAAAAACAAAACTACTCCCAATAAATTTGCTTAACTGATCTTTTCATAAAGTTTTGGAATAGTTCAATAGTAAGGAACTATATCTGATGTAATTAATTACCATTTTTGACTATCAGTTAAGTTTTTTTATTATACAGATGATGTAATCACAATCTATGGGATAAGTTTTTAAGGTCATAAATAATTTTAGTGGAGAAAACCGATTATCTGTAATCTTGATAGATAAATGAATCGGATATTAAGAAGTTGCGCCACCGTACCCCATTGTCTTCAGTGAGTTCCTATCTCACAACAGACCTAGTTGAACTCCACTGGTAACGACTTCTCACTAGAACTCCAAGAGTGCCTCCTGAAGTCAGTCACTAGTGAGCAGGTGATTATTATTATCAGAATGGGTTTTGTGCGAATTTTTAGAAATTTCACTGGTTGAAATCATGAGTCAATTGAAGCTAGACCACAATGGAAGCACTGGACGGCCGTTTCGTCCTAGTATGGGACTCGTCAGCAGTGCGCATCCACGATATTATATTGGTTGTTTGAATTTTCCCATGGATGTTTAGGACTGTACTTGATTAGTCTGTTATTGGCATATGTGCATCCTGTATAGATTGCCTTTCTCATTTCAAGAAAGAATTACGGCTGATCAGTTTGAAAACGTTCATTAGTTAAATAAAAACAGTATATAAGTAGTAATTGTCAAATATGTCCTGTATCCTCATATATTTTATAATTTTGCATATATAGATTTTGTACATACAGTCCCTATCTTTATATTGATTATCGTTTGTTCTTCAATTATTCTTGATTAACCGTTTTCGATTCAATTTCTTACTACAATTAGATTACCTTATGATTTGTTAATCTTCAGGGATGACTTAGACATTGTGAGATCTATTCAAGGTCAATCCAATCTTTAAATCCTGAATGCATGCATTTCTTAATTTAAACACTTACTATTTCCTGATAATTCGGTTCCAACTGTTTACCAGCTCTCTTTGTAATTCTTAAAATCATTTAAGATCTCTTGTGTTCGGTGAATTTCTTTAATAGTAACTATAGTTGAGGTTATTATACATTCCATTATTTGTGTTGTATGACATTTATTATATTTTGTACATGACTTGCAACTTTAAAGCTTTCTAGTTTGAAATTATTCTCGCGCGCGAACGCTTAGCCTATAAATCATTGAGTTGGCATCCAGCGGTGTTAACGTCTAACATCAACCAATCCGTGGAATTGCGCGACCATCTTCCATCGTACTGAAGTAGATACCTGTCTCTACCCCACACGGATTATCTCCACTGGTCATGGCTTCTCACTAGAACTCCGAGTAACAATTTCATTGATTTTATTTACAGAATGGTCTTGCTTAGTTTTTAGAGTCTAGTATAATGTCACAGTTACATGGGTTAATTTGGCTTTCGAACAGATCAATTAATTTATTCTTCTTAAGTTATTATCCTAACATATTTCGAGCATATCAGTTATTCACTTATAGCCTTGACTGTTTTTAATGGCATATTTTCAATTTCGTTCAATTCATGATATAGCGCGTCAATCATTCAGTTCTTTGATTGAGATAATAAACCAATTCATGTTAGACCACCGTTGGAAACCTGGAAGCACTGGACGGCTGTTTCGTCCTATTGTGGGACTCCACAGCAGTGCGCATCCACGATCCCGCTCGCGGGATTCAATTCTTCCTGGTCTTTATTGATACCTCAGATTAAATCAATCTTTTATGAATACAACTTAAAATTTAAATTAATCTCCATAAAACTTTCCCAACATAACTATTTTCCCGCTAATGGCCTAATCAAATTTGAAAAAAATTTCTTAATTAAGAAATTACAGATGTTAGAACTCAGTAGTTAAGTGAATAACACGATAGCGTTTGAAGCAAACGGTACTGGGTTCGAATCTTAGGGTGAACATCAACTCTGAGATTCAGGTACATCCAACTGACTAGTCCTAAATAGGACGAAACGCCCGTCAAATTGGATTCCATTTCTGGCCACTATTCATCTTTAATTATAAAGCTTGTTACCTAAGACAATGTTTAGGCAGTCCGCACAGAATGCACATATGCTAACAAGAGACTGATCAGTTGCAGTTTTCAAGGGGAAGATACAAGTAAACAACACCAAGTGAATTTAAATGTTAGAAATGTAAATGAACTTACTATAAACGGTGGTCTATCAGATAAGTTATTTCTATGATATATACATACATTTTTATCATCAGAATTAACAGTTTTCTCATGATAATGCAAAGAATTATTTGATTTTGATCTTGCTCGATAAGAATTAGATGATTTCACAGATTTATTGAATGAATTTATTAGATCAATGCCAGGAATAGGATTTGACATATCAGTTAAACCTGGCCATGGATAAGTTGTTACACCAGAGCATAATTGTGATGGAGTTTGTGAGCCAGCTTTTAACCAACTAAACTGTTTAAAGTATGTTGAAACAATAGACGACAATGATTTATATGTTGAAAGTAAAGGATATGAAAAAGAATGATTGCATTCAATTGTTAAAGAGATATCATTGGTAAAGTTCAAAAAATGTAGGAAATCAAAATAATTGTCATCAATGATATGATCTAATCGACGTGATATGTCACAAACTAATTGAAATTTGATATATATATACCAATGAACAATGGGTCAGAAACCCAAAGATCCTAGATTCGATCACTGGATAGAGCTGTCGAGGAGAACTGATGAAGAGTCCTAAACCAGGACAAAAAAGCTGTCGAATGCTGAGTAATTTTCTATAGTATCTCGAATGACATCAATCTGTTAAAAATATAACCTATAAACTAAATCTATCACCATAAATAAATAAATTGTTCTAACAACTCAAATCAGTTACTACTATCTAAACAATTGTATACTAAGTTTTTCATAACACTTTTGCATTCAATATACTTCTGTTTATGTCATTATTTATTTAGCCCCTAGTGCTAACTGTCGCTACTATTTATCCAATGTTTAATAGTTAGGAGAAGACAAACTAGATGAAGTACTGGTTCTTTGTTTTGTGTAGTAAATTTGTACTTCCAATATTCATAGTGCTGTTGTTTATTGCAGTTAGTACATTCGGTGAGACTATGATTTATGAATGAATGGTGAGCGAAGTCAAAGTAACCATGAGAAAATACAACTACTAATTAAGATCTAAACACGGTTATAAATTACTGTGAGTATTTAGAACTGGGATTTGCAATTACAGTTAGGGTTTTCATTACAAACTGACATTTTCTATAATATCAAAATACTATTTAGCCATATAGATGAATGAATCTTACATCGAAATTCAAGATTCTCTATATCTTAAATCGAATGGGTTCGTCAATAAATTATAGTCTCGCAGTATATTCAGTTAAGCAAGAAATGATCATTGAGAGTAAATGAATACACTTGACTACAAGTTATCTAATTACCATTCGCTTCAAACCATACATATATATGGTAAAGCCGTCGAAAAATTACCCTTAAATTTTGAATAAACTGTAATAACAGTGTAGATGTATTTTATTTCCAACCAATATATCGGTATCAAATTGTCTCTAGAATCTTCAAGGAACTGATATTATCAGGTGGATTCGAACCTGGGCTATCCAGTCTCACAGTATGTAAAGTTATCACTAAGCTATTCGGCCAACGAGTGTTCTGTAGGATTGAGAGATTTATAAATGATTGATTATTAAATAATTATCAATTACACATTTGTCTGTTCCTTTAATTTAACTTGAGTTTCAGAGTTACCTATCGACTACCTTTATTTCCTTACTATAAAAAAACACAGTGTTGATAAGTCTTGCGGATTGAACGATATATTCGTCTTCTAAGCTATTCAGTAACCCCCAAGCTAGAGCTATACAGCGACCTGAACACGTGAGAGGAGACGCGAAGTATGCGAGAAATAGTTTACTCCAAGGTTCATTTTAATACAGAAAATACAGGATTTTTATAATATTTTAAATGTCCTTGGGTTGCTAGCAGATTCTGGAACGCTACTAAACATAGTAGCAATGTAGCAGCCAGCCAATCAGAGCCTCTGCATGTGACGTTTCGCTTCCTCGATATTTTTGGCTAAGACTTCAATTGAACGCTGATTAGATGAAACGCTTCTTAGTGTTTCCTGATGCTTGCTTGTCTTTTGCAAGCAATTTTCTGGATATCACCGCAACAAGTGCAATCATCACTATTGAGTTAATTAAAATAGTAGTCATATTGCAACTGGATCGATAAAATTCGATCAGTATTAAGGAGGATTAGACAGACATGAAATTGGCCATCATTCAGTAATTGAACAATATATTTGTGCATATTCATCAAGAATTGGCATCATGTGGATAACCTTTTAAAAAAGTAATAATACGGAAAAATTTGGTATTTTTTTACTTCAATCTTCCCATTGATGTTTTTAGGACTGAAATTGATCGAGTCTCAGAGTGAACATCAGCTCTGAGATGCAGGTACATCCAGCTGACGAGTCCCAAACAGGACGAAACGCGCGTACTGGATTCCACTGCTAGCCGCTATCCATCTTTGCTTATAATACAGAAAAACTATTTTGTCCGAATTCGAATACACAATCAATTTACAATTTGAAGTAATTACACATATGATCATATTTATATGATCTAACTTACTTCAGTCTGTTTACCCTCGGAATTGATAAGTGCCCTTTCTGTTACAGCACGTAATAGATCACGAGCTTAAAATGAGTAAAATATGTGAAAAACAAGTTTAAAATAGTGAGACAATACAAATGTACTAAATCAGTATGAAATGTTTTAAATGTCAGAAAAAAAGCGATTACTTATTAAACAAAATGATTAGAATGGAGTTAGTAAATTCATTCTTACTTCTATAGTCTACATCACGGAGTAATCCTAGTTAGACAACCATTGAATAGCTCTTTCGTACCAGTATTGGACTTCTCAGTAGTGAATATTCACTAGCTCAACAGGGATTGAACTCAAAATCTTTGGGTTCTGCAGCAAACACTTTAGGTTTAGACTTCTGAGTTGAAGTTCAAAGGTTTATATGTTTGATTTTAATCAATTCATGATATTGTACGAATAGATTATGATCTCACTGGTGTGTAACTGTCTCACAGCTGACATGGCTGAACTCCACTGGTCATGGATTTTTACTAACAACCTGCATGTATCTCTTGGAATAAGTTACTCATAGGTAAGTGATAGTTATTAGCATACGGAGTTTGTGAAGATCGTTAGAACGTATAGTACTTATATTCAATAACTATTTATCGAACGAGTTAAGAAAATAATCAGTCGTATTTACCATTATCAAATCGATGAGAAATCAACTGATCAGACGTTAACGTATAAATTTCAAACCAATTCACAGACTAGATACATGCTTTACACATCCAGAGGCATCATATATCTTATTGAGTTTGACAAGAATATACGAAACCTTAGCAAAAGAAGATACTGATTTGTGCCATCAAATCCCTGACACTTAGTGAAGATGCCACATAGACATGACAATGAAGAAGGATCTAGTTTGACTGTAACATAACTTATATAGACATTCATCAGAATTGGAATAAAACAATTGATAGAAATCGGTCAACAAGTATGCCATAGATATCGAATATAAAATTATATTTGAAATAAACTCAGTGATTACAATCATCACTTCCATGAAGTAGTTTAAGTCAGTTTGCTACGTAACTCAGTAGATTAGTTATATAGTATTTGGTTTTTTTCCGAGAAGGCAGATATAATGCTAGGTACCTAGGTCAAACAAGAGGGACAATTCTAGATAACGTAAGAGAATGTCACACCTTAATACTAAACTAATCATTAACATGTTAAATCCATTGTAATCAACATGTGTTACCAGCTAGATTAACACATTTATTCACGCCTAACAAGGTTAGAAAAACAAATAAGAATTACGCGAACAAATATTTGTTCGCATTCACCAGCTAATCAAAGCTTATCATGGATTAGACAAACCCAGCAACTAATTATATTTGATTAAATTGAAAACTGAGTTTATTCAGCAAATTATCAGAGGTGAGTACCACTCTAATTTATTGCAAAATTGACTTAACTAGTATTAATAAAATGTAAAAATCAGTATGTTGAAACAGAATATTCTCATTTATTATGGGTGTATGGTAAATCCTCATCTGTTGTCGTTGCCTTTTTCGGGTGACTTTAATTTATGGACGATCTTTAATAGATGCTAAAGTGGCCTTGAGATACGTCAGTCACACAGTAGGGTCAAAATACGGTTGTCAATTAATGTGAGGAATTGAGAGTTGGAAGTTAGAGTAAGTCTTGGTTTATATCATGAAATGACATCAATTATAATATTAGAATGTTAACTAGTTAAATGGATAGATGAGTTTCACACCAAAATCCAAGATGCACTATCTGAAATCTGATTAGTTCGTCCATAAATTATGCCCTATCATGCCTCCTTCTTTATATCACATAATATCAGTTTTTTGTTCAGCAGTAACACTTTCTATTTTATGAACTAAATCAAATTGAAAACGAGATCCAGTGTATGATAACTTAATAGTCATATGATCACTATAAAATCTAAAGATGCTTAAACTCTATCCCAAGCCTATGATTGTGGATGTTTACAAGTGGAATAGTAGTCTATAATGATACAAACTCATTTCACATCTTATTTTATATTCTTACTGAACATCTCTTGCTCAAGCTTCATCTATAGACGTTTTACAAAACAAAACAAAACAAAAGAAAATAAACGTAAAACATCACAATCTCCTTATTATCTGAATCGTTGATTTAGAAAATCAAATTAATGTATAGTATTCAAATGAATTGAACATTGAAGTGCATTATGCCATATTTCTATAAAATGTATGTAAAGGAAATTAGCTGATAAAACCAACCCAGAAATGGAATCTGTTCATCGTTGTTTTGATTCATTAATTATGCTTCAAGTTTGTTTGTTTGTTTTTGTTATTGTTAAAACTAAAACAAACTTGATTAACAGTGAAAATAAAGTATACTTAGTGTAAGGATGGTTAAAAAAAAATAAAATTATAGATAGAATTTGAGGAACAATAGAAAATGGGTGGGGGTATGAGTTGGCAACAGAATCTGTTTTATTTCTCTCTTTTATTATTATTTTTTTCAAGTTTATTACAGGAGTGAAACTCAATTGATGAGGAATACTTCATAGAAGCTTAAATGGACTAATTTATTGAAATCAAAGTGAAATCAAGTGGTGAATAAAAAGAAAAGAAGAGACTAGAAAAAAAGGATGAAAAGAGAAGTAGAACAATAGAAAAACTAAATAATTCTTAAGTAAATAAGAAAGGACTATGATAAGTAATCAGGTGAGCCATTTTCATTATTTCTAAGATGA